TGAGGTGTGTGTGTGTGTATCTATCTATCTATCTATATGTGTATATATGTGTGTGTATGTATTTCAGGTTCTGGTCCTTAATAGCCCAGCCTTCCAGAAATGATCGCTGTGTGTCACGGGATGCTGTAGAGAGCCTGTTAGAGCAAACTGTTCTAAGCCATCAGTTTTCTGCTGTGCCTGGAGGTATCATCACAGATAACCTTGAGGAGGAAAATCAATCTGAAACTTCATTAGGAGCGTTGCATAGATGTCTGTGCTGATGTAATGTGCTCTGGTTCCCGTCGGGAACTGAGGAGAGTTTTTAGCTGCAGGATTTTGCTGGTGTTGTAGCAGTACGAAACGAACAGCTCAGGGGGGCTGCGAGAAAGGAATTGCCCAGATCCAAACAAGATGTGCAAGTGGCATTAATTAAAAACTCTCTTTCCCTTGGGACAGCTTTGTTGTGTTTCAGAGAGGACAGAAGAGGAAAAAAAATATATCCTTTGTGTGTTTGGTTCATCCCAAGTAGTAAGGGCAGAAGGTTCTGGATCAAGGCGAGCCCAAGGCTGGCTGTGAAATAGGCTGTGGAGGGGAACAGCCAGGAGTGAAATGTAAATGAGAGCATCAGGAGAGTCTCAGACATCTAGGCTTGTGTCACTTAGGCACCTAATCAAACAGGAAATTGCTTTCCCAGGGTCATCTGGGATCTCGGCACAAATCAGCACGTCATCAGCATAATAATGGTAACTCAACCATGCCTTTGCGCAGCCGTGCCTGAGGGGCACCTCTGCACATTGTGTTCTGTGAACATCTTGTGTTCACATAGGCAAAGCCAGCAGCGTTTCAGTTTTCCGATGCAAAGATGGAGGGAAAGGAAAATTCAGAAGCTTCCGTCCCCTGCCATGACCAATGTGCCGGTGACACGTCTTGTGCTTAAGCTCGCATCCTTCTCTTCTGTGCTCAGCCAAAACACGGGGGTGAGATTTGGGGAGGCTTTGGTGTGCCACAGAACAACAGCTGTGCTGCTGTGCCTGGAGTCTCTCTGGGAAGACATGTCTTGATGTTGTTCTTGCTGATAAAAATACATATAAACAGCATGGTGGCCACAGGGGGCAGTGGTTACGGCAGCGCAGTGTGGATGCCCAAGCTCAGCAGGTCCGTGTGCTGGAGGAGCACCCTGGCCAGCCCTGCGGGCCCCACCAGCCACATGGGACCTCTGCATCCATCCCTGAGCTGGGTCTCCTGTCTGTCCCGTAATGAGAAGGGTCTTTTTTGTCCACCGTATGGTGAACTCCAGAAGCTCCCCAGTTGTGTCTGTTCTGCCTGCTGAGCACCGAGTCCATTAACAGCTCCTCTGCCTACATCCCCATTTCCCTGTCCGACACAGAGCGTGCCATCAATGTGCGTTATTAGTGAGGCTGTCACGTCAGCAAGGGCACACCTGCTGTGGGCTTGCTGGGGAAAGAGCAGGGAGCAAAAACCTGAGGAGGTGCACCTTGGGTCTGGGGCTTCTTGGAGCACCCAGTTGGGTCCTTGCCTGTTGCTTTTTGACGACTGCAAACAACAAGTGGCCAAACAGCAGGGGAAGGCTGTTGAGCGTGGTTGGGCATCATGGGGTGGAGGTGCTCGTCTGATGTTCTGGGGAGAAACGCATGGTAGCTACCATCCATGGATGTTTTCCTGAGTGCTTGGTGTCCCCTTGGCCACTGTGGCAGGATTTGAGATGTGTTTCCTAGATCATTGCAGCTAAAGTAGAAATAATGTGTTTATAGGATCAGAGGCAGTTCACTGCTCGAGTTAAGTGCTTTTATAGGCCTGAGTCACTCATACTGTAAGCTATTCGGGGAGCTGGGTTTCCTTCTGAAAGCACCTTTTGTTATCACTGGGAACACTTTTGTTGTTCCGCCTTGCCATGGGGCTGCTTTGTTTTTGAGCACACTCATCCTGCCATGGTCTTTCTGGGCTGGCTTGTACCTTACCTCCCCTAAGATAATTAGCAAAATCTGGACACACTTGAAAAGCAGCAAGAGACAGAAGGCTTTACTGGGATTTGGGAATTTAAGCCTGAGCTGAGACTCATTAAAGCCAGTTATAGTTTTGTGACTTTGGTGGATCATGCTTACAAAATAAAGCATTTTATATCTCTCCTCACTCAAATTTATGCCCAAACAGTCAAAAAGGTTCTTGTGGAGCTGCTGATATCCCTGGTAGGTTGGGTCCTGCTGAAAATCAGGGATTTAGCTTTACCTTTCCCCAGCAAGGTCTCATGTTGGGCAGCACTATGGTGCTTACATTGCAGGAGCTCTTTGAACAAACTTGGCGTGGCTGCAGGGATACCCAGCCTGATTTTTGTGGGCGTGAAAAATGGAGCAATTTTGCTCCCATTGGCGCAGACCCTCGGGCGAGACCTGTGTGTCCCTGCTGAGCCTCCCCTCGCCTCCCAGGGAGACCCCTTCCTGCAGCCTCTCCTTTGGCCGAGCAGCTTCTTACTTCCTGCACGTCTTGGTTAAGGTCCACAGGTTCCCCCATGGATGGGTCTGGAAGTAATTACCCCAAATTTTACTGTGGATTTCCAGCACTCTAAGTTTGAGGTGATCTGAAAAGTCCTACCTTCCTGCCCAGTGTCAGCCTGCCTCCTGGCTGTGTCAGGAGTTTGATATTTACAGGCTAAACTGTTTGACTGTCTCTTCCCAGCTGGTAATAGCATCACTAATTAGTTTCCTAATTTGTGCTGTCTAAATGTACCTGAATTTCTAGGAATTAAAGTCTGCATGGAGCCCAGCACAGCAGTGAATGCGAGCAGAAAACAAGCCTGGATGCATTAAAAACATTGTTGGTGTTATAAAAAAATGAGGTGAGGTTGAGGGATACCTCAGGTGGGTCCTGTTTGTGTGCTGTGGGTGCTGAGTGTTCTGTTACCATGCTCGTAATAGATTTTACAAGCCAGGTGTGAACTTTGAGATTAGCCCTTGTGGTTTGTTATCCAGGAGGGGGAAGGAGATGTCATCCCGAGTGACAGCATCGGGGCGGCTTTGTTCTGGCTGTGGGCTCCTGGCCAGGTCTGCTACCATGGTCCTGCTTGGGGGACCATTCTCAGTGATAAATGTGTCAGAGATTTTGGGGGAAAGTCAAAGCAAAGATGATAGAATTGGTCATTTAAATTACCTTGCATGTGATGCTCTCCTAGATCCTTACTTTGTGCTATGGTTGGGCACAACGTTTTGTTTTGGGGTGGCTTGACCTTGCAAGAATTGTGAGTACTGCGAATGTGTTGGGTCAGGTGTTGGGAAATGTCTTACTCATTGAAATAATTGAAAATACCGTATTTTGAAGAGAACTGTGATGTGGGGCTTCATGAAGGCTGATGGAAGCAAGTTGCCTTCCAGGAAAAGCAAAAATACTGCAATACTGCAGCAGCAGCAGAAAGGCTTGCAGCACATGGTGAAGAGGAGTCCGTGTGCTGTGTAATCACATCCTGCCACGTAATATGACCCAAGAGTTGCTGTGACAAAAAGGGTTAGGGTTAAGAAATCAGATGCTTTCCATAGCATGGGAGAGAGACTGTAGCAAGGGTGCAGAGGTGCCATCGGGATGGCCAGTTTGGGGTTGATGCTGCTGGCGTGGCTCTGGGGCAGTCAAGTGTGTGAGTAGGGCACGTGGTTTTGGCTTAGGATCAGGCAGCCTATTGCCATATTTTCCTTAGAAGGCAAATAAATAAATAAAAATAGATTGTATTGTATTGCATGGAGGTGCAGGGCTTCCTCAGCCTGCCACCTGCTCCTGCATGCTGAGCGCGTCCTGCGGCTTTGCGGGGAGTAGTCAACGGGAACAGAGGAGACAAAATGCCTGGGGGAGAACTTTTAATGTGATTACCTGACGTCAGATTTAGCACTGGGCTTGTAGGGCGAGGAGCCGAATGGCCGGCGGGCAGCAGGAGCTGCTGGTGTGCTGCCCTCCTGCCAGGCAGCGGGTGCAGCCCCGTGCCACGCCGAGGACCTGGGGGCCTGGAGGGAATTTGGGTGTGCTCGTGTTCGCAGCTCTGCCCGGCATGGGCACCGGGTGTGCTGACCTGTCCGCTGATGAATTTGGTTCTTGGCGCTAGCTCAGGTTGTGGCTGTGTCTCAGAGCTTTTTTTTTCTTTATTGCCTACCCAGTCACTTTGTGATTTCTGTAATCTAATATTTGGGGCACCGTTAAAGATATTTAAGCCTTTCGCTATGACTGCAGTACCGCAGCAGCTCCTCTTCTCCTGTGAGTGGGCAGTGGCCGTCATGTCTAGGCTGGGCTTTGACCTGTGCTGCCACTGGGGATGCAGAGCTAGCTTTGGGCTCCTGCATGGACCTGGGATGAGTTTGAAGGAGCGGTGCCCTGCTGGGGCAGGTGGGTGTGCTCTGCACCTCCAGCATTGCTTCCTTGTGCTTATTTTGCACCCGAGAACAGCAGCATCTCTGAGCCAGGGCGTGCTAAGGGGAAGAGGTTGTTCTGTGCTGCCATGTCTGAGGAGCAGTGCTTTCAGTTCTCCAGATTTATTTATTTATTTATTTGCCCCAGGGATGCGTTACCCATCTCCTGCCTGAGCCATACCTGAAGCTCCCAGGTGGCTGGTGGTGGTCCATGGGGGCTGGGGAGGGGGGAGAAGACCTTCTCCAATGGGGTCCGTGTTGTGTGCATTAATCAGGAGGTGAGGCTGATGAGAACCCCCTGGAGCTACTCAAAGTGGAGGGGGGTAGAAACTACTGACCCTGTATTCCTTCTTCCTTATGGGTCCTCTTTGCAGTGTCTTCTGAAAAGCTGATGAGTGGTCAGAGGATAAAGGAACAGACCTTCATCTGGAGATAGTGTCGTTTCTTGTTTCTGCTCAGCACAAGATACCACCAGATGGTTCTTGGTTGCGGCTTAGAGTGTGACTAAAATTTGTTTTTCAGGCACTCAGGCAAATGGGTTTTATTTAATTTATCTTCCTGCTCTTTCCTTCCCCTCAGAGCTTTGTTCTGAATTTCCACATTGCCTTTTCCCTGTAGAATGAAGTCGAGCTGGGGGAGCTGCTGTTGTCACTAAACTACCTACCCAGCGCAGGAAGACTGAACGTGGACATCATTAGAGCAAAACAGCTTCTTCAGACAGACATGAGCCAAGGTTCAGGTAAAGGGCAGGGTATTTCTCACATTACTCATGCACAGCTTCTGTGTGCTTCTAAAGCAGACCGGCAGCAAGGCTGCAATTTGGGGGGGACCCAGGAGGGTTCAGATGCTTGGTTCCTATTAATTCAAGGCAACAGATCCTCATTTTATATGTATAGCTAGCAATAACCAGTGTCCAGAACACTTACCCTGAGCTACAATAGAGAGTATGAATACCTTCATCTTGCTTAAAGTCAAAATCTCTGACCCAGAGTGAAGCGAGAAACCAGGAGCCCAGTTTACCCTGATGCTTTGTGCTGTAAGGCAGCCCGTTTAAGGCTGTGCTCTGTTTTGCAGGTGCCAAGCACTGCATGAATGTTAATATTGCAATGGTTTTATTTAGGGTAACTAGCTACTCTGGAGGCAATGTTAGGTTTTTACAGTGTCCATGCGTTGTTCCCTGCTGTTTCTGAGCTGGTAATTGCTTCACGCACATGTCCTGATGGGTTTTTGCCATACTCCCTGCCCCAGCCGCTGCTGCTGCCAGAACATTGGCATTTTCCAGAAAGAGCAGTGCATTTGGTCTGAGTCAAGGCTGTCATTAATTGTGCTCAGCGTGGTTTCAGCAGGGAGCACTTTAAAGCCAGATGCCCGACTTTTGTCTCTCCACTGTGTGGCGGTACGAGTCCTGCTCCTTTCCCAGCACTGTTCTCCAGCGTGGTCCAGCCCTGTTCCCACATGCTCAGCTGTGCTGAACCTTCCCAAACCAGGAGCATCGGCTTATAAAACCAGTAACTTGCAGCCTGTGTTTTTTCTCTCATGTTTTTGTCAGATCCCTTTGTGAAAATTCAGCTCGTTCATGGACTGAAGTTAACCAAAACCAAGAAAACCTCCTGCATGCGAGGGACGATAGATCCCTTTTACAACGAGTCCTTCAGCTTCAAGGTTCCCCAAGAAGAACTGGAAAATGCCAGCTTGGTGTTCACAGGTAAATGTGCTGCTGTTGTTGGTCTAGCGTGGCCTTGGTTGTCTCCGAGGTGAAAGAAGAAGTAGTTGCAGGTATGCAGAGGAACCCGCACAGGATGGTGCCTGTCTGGTAGCTGCTGTGCAAGGGATGACCAGCGCTGGAGTTTCCAGGGAAGCTCAGTCTGCATGCTGTCCTCTGTGAAAGCCTTTCCCAGCTGAAGGCTGGAGCTGCTGGAGAAGCACCATGTCTGTTCTGTATTTGATTGGTGCCACTGGGAATGGTTTTGTGCATTAATTATGCTTCTTGGCAGTAGCCAACTTGACATACAGTCAAAAATTGGACAAATGAGAGAGGAGCACTGAGCAATCCTGAAGCCCAAGCATTGGCAAAGATAACTTTTGCCTGGGAGATTAGGCAGGTACAGGTGTTTGACACTGACATCACCTCTTCCATTAGTGAGTTCGTTCATACGTCTGTTTTTGAGAGGCTGGGATCTGGGGGCAAGCCCGGAGGAGCACTGCAGATGGGGTCCCCAGACCTCGCAGGTGCTAACCTCACACGAGAGCTCTGCCAGCGCTGGAGATGCTTGGCTTGGATAGGAATTATTACTTTATATGGATTCTGAATCTCTTATTTTTGTTCTCTAGGCATGAAAATGTTCAGTAGAAACTGGCAGTTGGGTGTGCTGTTCAGAGCCAATGTAGCACAGCATGGGGATGTGCTGTAGGCTGGGAGCTGGGTAGGTCTGGTAGAGCTGAGGCAACGTTGTGGGCATCCAGTCAGCACTGCTGTAGAGACCACTGTGGCTGGTGGCTTTTCTGCTGCTCCATGGAAATGTGGGACCCCCAGGAGGTGGTGGGTTTTCCTCCCACAGCGCAACTTCACTGCAGGTGCCCAGGACCTGGGTCCGAGTGGTGGATCTGGGGACATACCTGCACCTTTGGCCACTCTGGGTTCCTGTGCTTCCCAAACCTTTTTTCTTACTTCTGTTTTTCATAGCTTTCCACCCATTACTGCACTGTCTTTTTGAAGAACAGAAAGGAATCTGCATCTGAAAGAAAATATTTTGAAGTATTTTCTTATTTTATTTCTTACGTGGCAGATACAGGTGTCACAGCCTGCACACGAGCCTAATTCCAACCCATTAGCTTGTTTCCAAACGTGTCATAGCAGAAGTGATGCTGATCAGCGATTTAAATCCTACCCTTCAAGTACAAAAATTTCTTCAGCAAAAAGCCTAATTAATCACTGCTTTGCTTGCACATCGTTCTTGACTGTACCTTTCATGTGCAGTGATGAATTTGTTCTGGGAAGCTTCTGTCAGGTGCTCACGTGATGGATGTGAAATTCTTTTTTTCTTTGTTTTCCCCTTTTTCTAAGAGAACAACAGAAGGCAAACAGTATCAGCTCTGCGCAATCAGGGAGGATGAGTGGAATGCACTGCTCCTCACAGCAGCTGATGAAGTTGGCATTGATGCGTGGATGCCTGATTTATTTTACTTTTTTGTTGTTGTGTGCAAATGGATGTATTTTAAAATAAGTCACTTGGAAGCTAGTTGATTCATAACCATACGTAATGCAGCCGGATTTCAATGGCATGCCTTTTAAGTGGCACTTCGCTGTTAAGTAACGCGGTGCTTGCTTTGAAAGTTGCAATAAATAATCCAGAAATGTCAATGGCAGCTCCAGAGCTGGTGAGGAGTGTGCAGAGGAGCAGCGGGGCCAAGTTCTTGTGGCTGCTGAGGGATGAGGCGTGTAAGGCATAGCTGTGGGCATCGTTGCTGCAGTCGGGACTCTGTTGTCTGACAGGAGGTGAGTGGTGTTGTGACCGTGGAGATGGCCGTCTGGATGAGACGGGAAGGGATCAGGCAAAGAGACTGCCCGAGGTCACACAGCAAGTTGAGATCAGCCTGCGTTGTCATTCCAGGAGAAACCAAAGCTCCATGCAGCTCCGTCCTGTCTCCAGCAGTAGCTGCTAGCAGGTACCTGTGGGAAGAGTCCAAAAGCCAAGTGTATAGAGATCAGCTCAGGCACTCAAGGGGTTTGTGGGTGCCAGAATAGAGAGGTGTCGCTCACACTGCTATTTGTAGTCTTCTGCTCGCTGGTCTGCTGTTAGCCTCCTGTCTGGTTAGCAGAGGAACAGAGACCTGTCCCATTGTGAGGACCTATGAGGAAGCCTGTGCAGACACCTGTGGCATCACAGGGATGTGGTGGTCCTGGGGACATAGTGGCGGTGAATGCTGAGAGCCACATTCGGTCTCTGGACACTGGTGGAAATGTGTCACCAGCAGGGACTGCGGCACTGATGGGTGGTTCTTTGTGGTTTTAGTGAAATGAAAGTCCCAGGATGGGGAAGGTGGCATTTACCACTAGCCTGCTCTTGGCACGTTAGAGAAACTGGTAAAGGGCTTTGGGATCTTCCATTACAAGACAATGAAGAGCAAATGGTTGCCAGAGTGGAGGAGCTCTCTGGACCTCACAGCGTGAGGAGCACAGCTGAGGTCTTGTTGGTATTTTGCATCTCTAAAAAGCAGGAGCACAAGCCACATTTTTACTCTGTTTGTTTGTTGTTTGTTTGTTTGTTTCCTGAAATGGTGGTTCTTTGTTTGTTTTGTGGGAGCTGATTTTTTTTATTTATTTATTTTTTCAATCCACAGCTCCAGTCCATTAGGTCAGTTAATTAAATTTGCTGTTGAGTCAAAGTCCAATTGAAAAGGAAAATAATCCTGCTTGAAGGGTGGCTGATGATGCTTTGAATGGATAGAGGGCTGCAAAAGCTGTTGTGGGAGCCAGAAATCAAGTATATCTTCAATAATTTAAAGGAGCCCTTTTTGTGGTTTCATATTTTGGACCCAGTCTGCAGCTGTCTTTACATTGGCTTGGCTTCATTTGAAGGCAGTGGAGTCGTGCCAGTCCCTATCAGCTGGGGCTCCTGCCTCCCTCTGTGTAGCTCCACCGCAGAGTGGTGAGCAATCTAGACAAAGTATGATTATTATTTTTTCCATGGTGGTGGCTTTTTTTTTTGTCTTGAGTAGACTGTCTGGCTTTCAGTGCACTGTAATAACAAATTGTGCATGTTTTTCCTGTGGCTTTCCCAAAGACAACGCATGCCAACCCTGAAAATGGGCAGCTCTCTAAAAGCCACTTCTCTGCTCTTTTCCTTGTGGTGTCCTGTCCTTTGGACTGACTGTGGGGTTGAGGTACAGCCTCTGTGGGAGATGGGCAGTACGTGCCTCCAGGTCGGGGCACACAAACTGCCTTAGTGAGGTTTGGGGCATTCTGGACCAGTTCTTAGATCTCTCATCCGCCTTGGGCATATTGGCATTGTACACTGGAGGTTGTTGGCCTTTACAGACCAAAGTGCTTCTCCTTCCTTCTCCATTGGGGCAGGGTCTCCTGTTCAAGTTTTCTGTCTGCCTTCCCCTCTGTGCCTACCTCAGATGCTTGCTGGAGGTGTCACTGCCTTGGTATCCCTCCCTGGTGCCTAAAATGAGGTAGGATGAGCTCGGGGGAGGCTGTCTCCACCAGAACGTCAGCTGTACACGGCTTCTCACCAAAAGAGGCTAAAACCAGGAAAATGATTGGTATTCAAACAAAGTCTAATGTCCCGACAGAAAAAAGACAATTAGTGAGGCAACACTTCAAGGGGAGGATGTTTGATTTTTAATTTACTCCATCAAACACCTTGCCTGGGTGATGAGCATCTGTTTACAGGCAGTGACAGGCAGGCACGTTTCGGTGTGGTGCTTTGTTCCACGTGCTGCTTTTGGCAGCGTGGTCACCACCTGCCATGGGCCATCTTCTGCTTGGGTGCAGGCAGAATTTGTCTCTTGCAGACAGACAGGGCTTTAAAGGACAACGTGTTCTCCTAGCCACATACACCTGTGAACAAAGGCATTAATTATTCCCTGTCCCTTGGTGAGGGGAGCGTGGAATTTGGGCCCAGCACCAGTGCTGTTGGCTGCTGCCTTCCAGTGATGCTCTGAGGGCATTTCTGAGAGCACAGAAAAGGATGCTTGAGGGGCTGTGCCTTGAGCCCTGTGCTCCACAGGGCTGGATGCTGGCGTGTAGAGGTGTGCTCTCCCTGTTGATGGGTCTTGGGCAGGCTGTCCTCTAAATCCCAGCCTAACCTTCCGAAAGCCCCGGCTGCACGGCAGGAGGTAAGATGACACCTGAAATCTGAGCACTGTGGTATTTTGTTAATGATTATAACGTTGTTAATAACAATCGGCGGTAATGCTGTTTGCGTTGCAGCAAAGCCCAGATGGCCCAATAAAAATCACCAGAGCTCCGGGGCAAACCGCATCTTGGTGACTTGTTAACATCTTCAGATCACTTACAGCTTGCAGGCACTTTCTCTTCTGAACCATTTGTAGGATTTTATGAGTCTCTTCACTGTTCAGTATGCTTTAATGATGATTTAGGACCAAGTTGGTTTTCTTTTTCTTTTTTTGCTTTGTTTGTTTGTTTTTTGAGTTCCCAAGGAATTGTTGAACAGAGGGATATTGAACACCTACACCCATGGTTTCAAGGGCTTCCACACACCACAGGGGCTCTGACAACACCACTAAGTGCTGCTACAATTCATGTCTTCAGCCCACAAGATCACGCTGATGCTTTATCCCGCGGCTCTAATTAACTTCCAGTTAATAGAGAGTGCTTAATTAAAATAACAGATTGCTGTTCAATAGTAATATACCTTGTTCCTCTACTGCCTCGTTTTCCCTTTCTCTCGGCCTTCGGAAAATTTAAGGACCGTTTAATGAAGTTCGAATTTTTAGAGGAAGAAAAATCCATGTCAGGATATGTTGATAATGGTTTAGTTTGGGGTAGTTCAGTTTGCTTCGGCTAACGTGATTTCTTTTTGAGGAAATACTGCCTGTTGGAGCATATTCATTCCTTTTGTGCCGTTACAGCATTAGAAAAGAAGAATGGGATCTTCCTTGAAATCCTGACTTCTTGCTGGAGGTGGATATTTCAGGTCGATCAAGATCTGGAATAAGCAGTCACTAAAGGCACAA